GGTGAAATGAGGTGAATCCAAAATATACACAAGTTCCTAAATTATTTTAAAAAACAATGTTTTCGGTCAGACATTTTGCTCTTTCAATTAAAATTTAAACATCCATATAGAGTCAGAAAGTGCTATCTATTGCTATTTGAAATAGTAGATTGATCCTCTTTTTTTATAGAATTTAACAATGAATTATCGATAATGTAGTTTTCATAGAATTGAATTCTCTTCTCTAAATTATTAAGTCGTTTTTGTATTGGGGAATTAAAATCTTCAGTAGTATCAGATTCGTCAGCCAACGGTAAAATGTTTTTTTCATATCGATTCCTAAATAACTTTGATTTTTGTACAAAGCCCCACGGAGAAATTAAACCAGCTCCTAACAGTTTTTTAAAATAGCAATAAGTGATTAAATTATGCAGCTATAATTTTCTAAAAAAAAATAATCAACCTACCAAATAAAAATATATATAAAGCTGCAAAAAACCCCCAAATACCACCAGCAATACCCATTAAGCTCAAGATCTATTCATTCAAATAATGATAAACATTGAGGATGTATTTAAATCATGGAAATTATTAAGGTTTTTTTTTTAAATTAAAAACTTATATAAATGTCTACTTACAGTTTTGCTCATATTATAACCATTCATTACGTGTGAAGTTATTAATTAGTAATTAATGTGTTAATAAAATATTTACACAATAAGTTATTCAAGATAGATTTTCACCTTTCTTCAGTTTCTTCTGTCACAATAAAGGGTGGAGATATGAAAAATCGTAGTATTGCGTAAGTATTATTTGTTCCTGTAGTTAGCAGTCATAATTTAAGAAATTAAACCAAATTATATCGCATTAATTTTTTTAATACGTGAGAATATTCTTACGAATATCCGAAGTCGCGGTCGTAACAGTCGCTGAGTTATTAATAAAAACATAAATTATTATAATATCTTTAAAAATAATCATAAAATATAAAGATTTTAATTCTTACACATATGTGAATCGATATAAGGTACATCAATGTATTTTTGTCTGCCAAAGTAACTTAAAAATGTCTGTGACCAGAGCGTGTCTAATACATCTATCAAATGTCCATTCATAATGCTACAAATTTTTTAAATAAATAAAATAAATAAATATATATATATTTACATATTCACATCACATTTTCAAAACCATTAAATATACATACAGCTATGTCATTTCTAGGTTGCCCAAAAAAATACATGTTTTTTAATAAAAGTGATTCTTCAAATTGAATTTGATCATAATTTATTGGTTTTGAATCATATTCTAAATCATTGAAATTTAGATATTTAAAAATTATTCTATAAAAGTAACTAAGATATTGCTATTAATATGAAAAGTTCTACCTTTGTCATAAGCATACATCTCCATATAATCATTTTGATTAGAAATGTTGTATTTTGTATCTGTGATATTTATCGTAAGAGTATATCCAGTATAAGAAGTTGCATTGTAATTTGGTAAAAATGCTTTAAAATATTTAGACTGAGACGTATCAAATATAGATTTATTAACAAAGTTTGCACAATTATGATTCCCTAGAATATAAATTCGAGTCAGATTTTGCTAGCGTATAATGTGAAACTCATGAATGTAAAAATACTGTACTTGCCTGTGGAGTCATAAAATGTGCAATCAATGGTAAAATTATAACCATAATAAAAATAAATATCTATATTGATTTAAAATTCTTACGTTATACATCATTTGATTTAATACAGTAATATTATGTTTATTTAAAACTTAATTCCTACCTGGTATGGGCAGACTATTAGTTGCTTTGTATTTTCTATTAATAATAGGCAATTCATCACGAACTCCTAGGCATAAAATTACAAATATAGCAATAAATAACCCTAGAGATATAATAATAAAACAACGTCGAAAAATTTTAATCGACTTTGGTTCGTCGCGTGTTGTTCTGAATAAGTCTGTAATCATGTTTCATTTATTTTCTCATTTATGAATTATTTTATTGCAGAAATTAAAGAAAAAAAAAATTCTCATGATTACAATATCTTCCTTTAAATTTTCCATCTTTTTAATCTGAAAAATTTTTATTGCATGGATTACAATCGTGTTTGTTTATTACATGTTCACAAATTTTTACCTGTTCGCAAATTATTAACTAAATTATATATGTGTACCAAAATTTTGTTTCTATCGTTATTTTAATATCCTTATTTATTTAGTCTGTGTGATGCTTGGCAGGAGT